CTCGGCGCCCTCCTCACCCACGCCGGGCTCGACGTCGCGCAGCTTTCGCTCTGTCGCGCCGCACGCCCGCGCTGGCGCGACGCGGCGGAGCTTTGCCTGGGGGAATATCGCCGCGTCTTGCACAGCTGCGGGGCCGATCTCCGCGCGGTTCCCTCGCCCGTCGGCGTCCTCCTTTTGAACAGCGCCGACGCCATCCTTTCCGCGGCGGTCCCGACGGCTGGGATTCACCGCGAACCCGCCCTGCTTTTGCTGAAGTTTATCCAACAGGAAGAGCTGTGGGGGGTGCCCGCGGCGAGGGACTTCATTGACCGCCTCACCGCCATCTCTCACGCCACCGCGACGCAGCCCCCCACCTTTAGCCACTGGCACTTCTACTGCACCGCTTTCTGCCGGGAGATGGACCCGTTCTACTTTTATATCCAATCCCTCGAGAGCCTCTGCGAGGCCCCTTCTTCCTACTCTTACATTCGAGAGGCGAAGCGAAGGCAGTGCGAGCATCTTTTGCACGAACTTCACCATAGTTGTAGGGAAGGGGGGGAGAGGAGTCCAAAATTGGCAAACTCGCCTACCAAAACGATGCCTCATCGCATTGCCCCCGCAAACGTCCAGACCGCGGTGGTGTATTTGCTCGATATGCTCAATCGCGATGCCGATGTGGCGATTTTGCCTTCCCATCGGATTTTTCAAAGCGTCTTGGAGCTTCTGTTGCCTGCTTTTGTTTCCGCAAATTTGCAGCTTTGTTTTATTATCTTGTTTTCATTACAGTCCGCGATGTCCTCACCTCGGCGAAGGTATGATGTGGAGCTCTTGGGGCTCTGGCGAACGCGCGTGTTAGATGAGCTCGGTTCCGACCAACTCCGCGCGATGTGCGAAGCCACGCTGAATTTTTTTACGAGTTTGGATACCTTTTGCTTGCAATCTTCGGCGGTGAGCAACCAAATGCTGGTTCGTTGGATCCGAAGCTACTGCTGGGATGGTGCGAATTCCACCACCGCCTTTGCGCGTACCCGAACAAGGGTACAAGTAGGGCGACGAGCGAGCTTGAATGAACCTTTTTCCATGCACACGCCCTTCCCCCCATCCTTCGCAACGTCGTCCCTTTCGAGCGCGGTAGCGCCGGTTTTCCTAAACCTTCCTTTCCCTATTCTTAATCCATTCAAGCCTTGGATTGAATTGCATTCGGTTTTACTTACGAGCATTCGCGTGGAATCTCTATCGTCGAGCAAGCCGATATGGATTACCTTCAGCAACTACAGCGATGCCGAGCGTGCAAATCGGAAGGAAACTCGGAAGGGAAACTCCGCCAGAGAGAGCGAAAAGGATGAAATGTTTTTTAGTTTTTTATACAAACGTGAGAGTGCGCTTCGAGATCAACTGATGTGCATCTCCTCTCGTCTTTTACAGTGGCTTCTGCGTAATCAGATCGGATCCAGGGTCAAGATTGGTAATTACAGCGTCCTCCCCCTTTCCGATTCCTCTGCGTTGATTGAAAGCTTAGAAGGTTATACGCTTTACAAGCTGCCAGGCATCGCAAATGGTAATTTGGCCTTGGTGACTTACCTGACACAACGTGGGGAAGCCGCATTGCTCAATTTTTTGGCCTCCGCGAAGCTTTTTTTGCTGTTAAATTATATCTTTAGCATTGGGGATCGTCATCAGGGAAATGTCATGATGAGCCCTGTAGGGGCAATCTTGCATATTGATTTTAGCTATATCTTTTCGGAAAAGACGTTGATGGAGAAGCTTGCCGGGACGTCGATACGGGTGGATAGCCAATTATTGTCGGCCGTCGCTTTTTGCCGTCGGGCTACCACCAACACCACGGCATCTTGCCCCCACCTTGCCGATGATGCGTTGTCGTCGTCGTCGTCGTCTTTGTTCTTGGGATCCCCGTGTGAGGGTTTTTTAGAGGTTTTGAACGATTCTGCTGACGATCGCCATCGTAATACAATGATGGTAGGCGATCCTGCAAGACCCACCAACGATAATTCTTTTCAATCGGATAACGAAGAATTTTTTACGGAGGCTGCGGAGTGGTTTTTGCGGGTTCGCCCGCATGCCGCGCTGTTTTATGAACTCTGGCGGTATGCCGTCCGTTGTCAAAGCCTTCCCTTTGATGAGCGGAATTTGGCAACGATTTTTAACACCCTTTTTGACCGCAGTGCTTCGCGAAAAAGCAGCGCGGATAGTTTTATGCGGGCCATGGAGCATTCGATTAACGTTTGCCGCTTAAAGGACGCTACCTATTCGAGCGTTCAGACCTTTCGATCCTACACTGATCAAGTGGTGCGGTATGTTTCAGAAACGCCCTTAGAAGCAAGAAAATTATTGGATTATGTATGGAATCATTTTAATTTATCGCGCGTAGCCTGAAATCCGTTCTTTTGTTTTATTTATCTGAAACAACAAAAATAGAAAAAAAACGGAGGAATAACCGCTTCTTCGTATCAAAAAAAAAATCGTGTATATTCAATGCTTCTCTATTTTTCCGCGCCATTCCCTCAGTTACTTCTTATTTTATTTATCCCTTTCTATTAATAAAAAAAAAAAACACATCCCCCTCCCTCTCCTCTCCCTCCTTTCACCCCCTCCCCCCCACCTCACCTCACCTCACCTATCCACCCTCTTTACTATTCCTCAGACCAAAAAAGAGAAAACAAAACAGCCTAGCAAATGAATGGCGCAAACCTTTATTGATATCATTAGCGTTTATGACATGCTTAAACTTACTTTTGCGCTGCAGTTTTTTCCTTTTTCCGTTCTTTCACTTATCCACCGTGCTTTTCTGTCTGTGAATAAATTCTAGAAACTTGGTGAAACTATCTTCTCTTATTTAAGCGAGAGGTTATGTACTCCTATACTTCTTTCATCAAAACACTCTATATATATCGATGTTTACATGAAACGTGAGCTTACTTTTGAGATATTTGCTGGCAAAGATCTGACCATTGATGTCTATGTCGTTTAGTTTCTAGTATGTGATGCTTCTTGTGAGGATCCTCCTTTAGCAAAATGTTGATATTGATGTCTAATCTTTTTTGCTAAAACTCACTTTGACTAATACCATTCCACTCTTTCATTCCAATATATCACATTTTCTGAAAGTATGCCCATTAAGACTTAATAATAATAATAGATATTAATCATATACTCATCGAAGCACACAAATAAATATTCCTTTAAATTCACTTTTCGAATTACTTTTATAGTCATCGCAAACCTTATCGTAGTATTTACTTCTTTATTTAATAATACCCAATGATGACTCATTGGGATTCGTCATTCGCAACAGTTTGTTTTCTCAACAAAGATGGCTCTAAAGAATCTACGCTGCGCGTTCCTATTGAGGATCCCGCCACGACGACCGTTCGCCGCCTCGCGAAGGATGCCATGCGGCGTTTGGTGGCAGTATTACGGCGAAAAGAGGCTTTGGATTTAAAAATCAAGATTCAAAATACCTTTTCAGGGTCGGAAAAAAACGCCAAAGACCTTCCTTTTACCGGTGTTTCGCGTATCTTTGTCGGGGAAGAATTGCTCTCGCAGGTCGATATTTTCGGACGCGATTTGGTCTGCGATGTCGTGCGTCTGCGTGAGGAAATTATTTACATGAGGTTATCCTATAATACCACCAGTACGGGTATTTCTAAGGGGAATACTTCCATTGCCAGGAAGCATGCCGAAGAAAGCGGAAAAGTAGCGGATACATCGTACAAGATGCAATCGTCGACGAATATGCACTTTTTTTCATATTCCGAACACTCTTCCGCAGCACGGATCTCCACATCATTTTCGCCGCCCTTGCAGCATAGCATTTCTTCCATTTCCAGGGATGGAGTCGGGGTGGAATTGGAGCCTTTTTCCGCAATAAACGGCAGCTCTGTCTTTCCGTGCGGCGATCCCACAAGCACGTCATTGGTGGATGTCGAGAATTTCATCAAAATGTCCACTTCAGAAAATAATTCGACTGAGCTAAATATGGGGGTTTTAAGTAATGGGGAAAATTACCCTCTCATAGCGCGAAAAGACGAGGATTCACAGAACGAAGTGCGGTTGGAAAAGGGCTCTTTGAAAAGAGGGAATGCGGCTCTGGTCAAGGATGTTCAAAGTTGTCGACCTGAAGATGACGGAATGCGCTCCGAAGATGATTCTGAGAAGGCGGAGGAAGAAAAATCCATTAAAGCACTCGCTTGTCCTCGCATTAGTGATGCGGATTTAGAGCGGGATGCGTGTCGTTTGCGGGAGGATACGCGGGGTCGTAATTTAGGTTGGGGACCGGAAGCCCATCGGCATTTCGCATTGAACTACGTCTCCACACCCCAGAAGCTGATGCGAAGTTCTAACAAACGAGCTGGAAAACGCCAGCGCGAAGTGCCTGCAAAACCAAAGAAACAAAAACTAAAAGCGGTCGACCTGCGTGCCGAAGAAGGTCTAAAAACGCCTTTGCTAGCACCCACCACCACCATTCCATCAACTACAGAGAAGGAATCCAATCCGATGGATTCGACTTACAACACACCCAAAACTGTGGCGAAATGTGTTTCTAGTGCTTCTTGCGAGGCTTTTTCTCCTTCAAACATTTCCAGGCAGCTTATTTTTGATTGCGATAAGGGGGAAACTAACGAAAAAGAGGTGGATAAACTTCCCTCCGGGTGGGGATGCGAGGCTTCAAAGTACTTTGATCCGAGAACTTATTGTGATGACCCATCCAAAGCGCACTTCTGCGAGGAGTTCCGTACCAAACGAATCCAAGCAAGACGACAGATTGAATTTCCCTCGTATTTAGCATACGTCGACTAGTAGATAACTTTTAAAGGGAGCGATGATATATGAAAGGAAGTGAATTTATGTGTAAAAACTTCACACGCTAACAAGAGACTGAACTTGATCTATTTGGATCTGCTGTTTTTCTTAAACATTTTGGTTCTTAACAAGACAAATGAAGTAATAACCACATTACCCAGGCATTTTGCATGGACATTCGAACACAAAAAATATTTTCTACGTTCATACGAAGCTTATCCATTTGAATGGGTGAGCTTTATAGACTTTTTCTTTATAAACACTTCATAGAACCCATCTTTTAATATTGTGATGTTAAATCATTTTGTAAATGCAGATTGAGTACATGCGATAAGTGCTATACATCGTTATTATTCACAACACTGTAGCTCAAAAAAAAAGTATATTTTAGATACGAAAAAGATTAACTACACCTTATTTTCCATTTTTATCATAGAAATATTTAGACGCAATACCTTATACTCGTCTATATTTTCAAATCAACGTTCATGCGAACCTTTCCTAATAGAACCCATGTAGACATTAATTTCCTCTCTAATAACATGCTAACTCAACTAATCGTCCTCAGTCAGAAGTCTACTTGATGTGACTATGTATTTACCGTCCAACAATACCCGTCCGAATACCCGTCACACCGAATGAACGGTGCCGATGTCACTCCAACGCATCCCACAATGTCACAACATTTTCCCTGTAATATCTCCCCCCCCCCCCTTTCTTCTAAGTTTCCCACATGATCCTCAGGCCTCACCTCCCCTCTTCACAGGCGCACTCCACAGGGCCATTCATTGGGCCCCCACGGTAACCGTACCCCCTCTTTTCCGGCTTTTCTCCGGCCCGGCGGATGATCCCGGGCCCCCCTGCCCCTGTCACGGCGGTGGTCCTTTCCCTCTATCAGTGCCCCCCCCCCCTTACCCTCACCCCCTCCTTTGGGCCACGGAAGGAAGAGGGGGAGGAGGAGGTCGGGGTGCCCCACGCGGAGGATTTTCGCGGGAATTTGTTCCTTCCCTTCCCCTCTGGGTTATCCTACGCGGGGGTGATCCGGCGGGTGGAGGATCGCCTCGCCGCGCATTCCCGCCTTCACCTCCGGGCGGGACGGGGGGAAGACCCCCCGCCGCGATGGTGCTGTCCGGCGTGTTGGCGGCTTCCCC